AGAGAGAGAGAGAGAGAGAGAGAGAGTGAGAGAGAGAGTGAGAGAGAGAATGAGTGCGAATTCAACCTCTTTGACTCACCCTGACCACACTCCAAATGACCATGACATTTCCCAGCGAGCCGCACACAGAGATGAGGGCAAGGACGACCACTTTTACTACAAGCTCCCACAATGCCTCACTGTCGTGGGTCATGACCTCGTCCAGGGGTGGTTCTCCGGAAGTGACGAAATAAATATCCATGGCGGAATCGGATGTTACCGCTAAATGTTTCTGGATATCATCCCCTGCTGCACTCGTGGCTTGCGATGAGAAGTTCAAGGTTGCAGTGAAGTTTTTCATTGTCGTGACATTGCTTGAGCTAGGAGAAAGAAACGACCACGATGGGGATGTTGGGGCGTTTTGAAAGAGAGATTCCGTTGTGATAACCGTATTGTTCCATAATGAATTCGAACCATTTTTTGATGACCGAACGCTGTCTGAAGACAGCCACTGTTCAGGTTTTAATGCTTCAAAAGTTCTTGAATTCGAAAATTGCCATGTGTCATTGAGAGAGGTCGTGGCCGTAATTGGAACGTATGTTTCCGTCGTGTCTTTCGAGTTGACCGCTGTCGTAATGTCTTGGGTGTTGTTGGAATGCACTAAAACTGATGACGTCATCGTCGAGTTTCTGTCATCAAAAAACCCCGAAGTGCTCGTCGCGTTCCAGGAAGAAAGAATTTTCCTTTGTTCCCGAGTAATAAATCCCTGAGATTCAACAAGACTCCCAGAATAATGGCCCTCACCAAGGGACACATTACCCTCTGAATGTTCTGCCGCCGGAGACGCGCGTAAAATGGAGGCAGGGGAAGGGGGGACGACAGGGACAGTTTTTTCGCCTTCCCCACCATCCAGAATCAGTCCGGATCTTCCATTCACTTGTGAAAGCTGGGACTGTGTGGGGTGAAGTATTATTTGGTTGTGGGTACTGTTCTCCAGAAGGGTTTTGACGTCTTCCAGATGTATTGGCGTGGATGTGGTTGGGCTGTCATGAAATTGCGAGCCATCAAATCGTTGGCTGCCATTGTTCTTCATGGGAGTTGTCGCCTCTTCACGATTCTTCCCGAGATCCGCCATATTGACTGGAACATCAATATCACACACGACGTGAAGTAGAGCTTTTTATTGGTCGTCTTTTGTCGAGGATGTTATTACACCGGGACGTCTAATTTGAGCTATTTGACGAAACATCTTCTTTCCTGCTCTCCCTTCCGCGGGACCGAATCAATATATATGCTCCTTCTCTCGCTTCGTCCTCGAACCGCGGGTGCTTGCGGCTTGTTGGCTGCCGATTTCAGGGTTAATAGAGAGCAGTCTCAGGTATATGATTTACATGCCGTGTACCTGCAAGAAGAGAGCACGAACCCACAAAGTTAATAACGGGACAATTCAGGTATCATTTTGGGAGGCTGATCTTTCACGACTCTCAGGTCATGAAACAGTTGTCAATCGATGGTAATAACACATAAGGACTCACGCTAGACCATTGTTGTAATCTTGGGAGTTTAAAAAGTCACAGTTAATTCGTACCTTTGTTCCTAACGTTGCGTTCTTTTTAATTTTTTAAGATTATAAATGCTTCGTGGCATGAATGGGTGTTCTATCGATAATATAATACACTTTATTATAAGATGGTACTTTTCCTAAACGGTGGCACGCGGATGACATCGAAAAAAGTGAAAAACATTATAAAGAAAGAGCACGACAAGGTTTAGAGGAATAAAAAACAACAACTAGAAAAACAAACAAAAAACAAGGGCAAATTGGTACATCCGCTGTTGTAGAGTTTACGATTTTGATCTGCCTCACATTAGTTCGAAGCCTGAATTTGTGTGGGATCCCAGATATTTTCCTCCGTCTACGTCCTTAATACTCACAGGGGAATATCCACTGCGGCTTCGAAAAGTATTGCAATTACAGCAATGTGTCTATAAACGTGTGAAACTTCAACAATACCAATAACAGGTACAAAAAGAACACATTCAACAACAGCAACAGCAGAAGTAGCAGCAGCAGCAGTAACAACAACAGCAGCAGCAACAACAACAAAAGCAACATGTTAAGAAAACAAGGGGAAGGCCAGGTAGAACCTGGAGTAGAGTCACGGAGACTGATGTACAGAAAAGTGGGGACTCAAAGAATGATATTAAAGGCTAGCTAAGGTTAGCGAAAAGTGGGAAGTGTTTGTTCGTGGCTTATACCATACCCTGATCCTGATGTAGGGTGAGAAAGGCAGTGATGCTGGTGATGAAAGCGACAGCAGTAGCAGCATCAACAACAGTAATAAACAACACCTACAATTACTGCACTGACGTGATAAATAAGGTCTGTAGCTTGTTATGCACTCTACAGCTTACCCTTTACACCGCGCTACTCCCCCCCCCCCTTCTACCCACCGCACCCGACCACACCCCAATAAAGACAATGGGTAACAAAAAATACCATTGTGCACAAGCAGGGGAACTTTTTGAAATGTATATTTTTTACGCACCAATCAACATAATTTATATCATTGAATAGGTGGGGTTCCGACCCTACCTGTCAGGGCAAACCCACGCTGAGGGGGTTACAACATCCCAGCCGAAAGTAGGAGATCATGATCATCATCATCATTGCCTTTCTCACCCTGCCCCAGTAGAAGTACCTGGTAGAAACACTCCCAAAGCCGGAAATCGAACTCAGGGCTCTTGCGTGCGACAGTGAAGCGCCTATCTTCTACACCACAGACGCCGGTTAGCAAGAAGAGCAAACCCTAAACAGTTTGAACGGCACGAAAAACCGTCTTTGTTTAGGTGGAAAGATTTACTTTGATTTATCATCTTTGCATTCTATACACTTCCCCGCGGGACAAATGCCGCGCTTCCCAAATGAACGATCCGTTGCACACGGTACTCAAAAACAAAAAACAAAATAGATCGAATGAAAATTATTTTTCTTTATCCAAACGCCAGAGGTAATCAATCTTTCTCACCCCCC